ATTGTTGAATCGAGTCGATGGTTGTTGCATATACAAAATAAATTATTTACCTTGAAAGGCCATAAAAAGTTTGTAGCATGCCTGAAATTCTTTCCAACAGTGAAGATTTCATGAATAAGGTCTTCGACGCAAATTATATTACAAGACTTTCCAAGAGATGTTTCGATAATAGCATTTGAAGTAATTGGAATTCTTTGCCTCTTGACTTTTGCAAATCCTCTTTTATAAATCAACTCTCTGACGCTCTTCAAATTGGGATAACCCCAGGTGACATAAGGTTCACAAATTCTTAACATATTAATTGTAGCCTTATTCAATTTCATGAAAACTCCATTATTTATTTGTTTTAGCCTGAACAATTGCAACACTTTTCTAACCTTGGGAGCAACTTGATTGATACCTCTAATACGAATAACAAAGGCTAAGTTCGCCTCAGCTGGAATATAGTAATTTCCTTTATTTTTGGCTTGTCTTCTAAGCCTAATTTCGTCTCTTTCTTTCTGTCTATATTCTTTAATATATGATTCAGCACGTTTAAAAATAATCTTTCTTCGTTTTCTAGCGGCAGCTTTTACCTGTGAATTCGAAATAACATAAACATTTATTAATTTTGATTTTAGGAAAACTTATTCGTGCATTTCAAATAGAAAATATTAAATGCGTACCTTTAAGGCTTTAAAAACGGCAGCTTTCTTGGCATATTCCCTTCGCTTTCGCCGTTTTAGAACCGATTCTGGAACGGCCGGCAATCCTTTTTGGAAAAAACGCTTTCTATTGTTTTTCTTCTTGACTTCCTTAGGCTTTTCTTTGCCATCTTCGGTTTTTGTTGCCTTTTTAGCAACTTTTTTAGGCTTGGGATCTTTTTTTAAGCCAGCTGCTTGGGCTGCTTTTTTAGCAGCGCCTGGTGCCTTGGTTAGTTTTTTAACACCATCAGTTTTAGCCGTATCTTGCGTTCTTAAATATTAAAAAAATAAAAATAAATAAATATTAAACCCATAGTATCGTTTGACGTTTAAAATATTATAAATAAATATTCAAATAACACGATTAATTAAGATTAAGTAAAGTAGGAACATAGGTACTCACTTGACATCCATCTTCCACGTTCAGATAGAACTTTGTCGTGCCAACATAAATTAATGTCGTGTCTTTAGCCACGATTATTTTATTAAATAATAAATCTTTTTCTCAAACCGAAAATTACAAATCCTTAATATGTTCGTTTAATTTTTCTTATTAATTTAAATTGTAATTTTTTCTTTTTTTAAACAAAGTAAAACTTAAATTCGAAGTTGTTTTTTATTAAAATATTATTAGTAAATGGGTAGGGTCAAAGATTATATTAAAAGTCAAGCTAGTCAAAATTCTTTTTAAAATACAAATCCATTTATTAATTCAAAAAAAAAAAAAAAACAATTATAAAAGAGAAAAAGAAATTTTTTCTTTAAAATAAAAGAATTAAAAAAAAAAAAAACTTAATTTAACATAAATTTAATGTATTTAATAATTTAAAATAAGACTCTAAATTTAAAGTTATGAAAACATAGAATTATGTAAAGCGTTTATATCTTCTTCTCTTTTTTTTGCCCTAATTTTTTCTTTCTTGTACATTTCATAATCTTCATCATCGGTAGGCATTTCATACCTACATAATGGACAAGTGCTAGTCTAAAAAAAAATTATAAAACTAATTAAATTTTGTATGACCTCATCCTTATCTTAATATTTTTACGATTATTTACCCTATTTAGCCAAGGAAGAATACAATCTGGATGAAAGCCGTGATTACAATTCAATAATATCATTTCCTCTCCTTCTTTGCTAAATGTTAAACATACTGGACATTGTTTTTCTGCAATAATTACATGTTATATATTATATGTTACACATATACAATAATACACATATAGAAAAAAGAGCAATTGATAAAAAAATTTACCAGATTCATGAACAGTTTCTCTTTTCAAATTTTTAATATATTCTTTCGATGCAGGTGGTGGCAATTTTTTATCTTCTCCAAGTTCTTCAAACATACCAAAATCTCTAAGAAGTCTAGCAAAATGAAGAAAATGATTAGGATTTTCTCCATTTTCCAGAGGTCTCCATCCCATTTCTTCAAAATAATCCGCCATTATTACAAAATTCAAGGTAAGATTATTTTACTATCGTACCTTATTAATTATTTTTTTAAAAAAAAAAATTAAAACAATTTTTAAAAACGTACAAATATTACAATCATTCGAATTAACTTTAAAGTTTAATTAACAAATAAATTTTGTCGCTTTTATGATATCGAAAACAAAGTACATT